TAGCTAGGATAATGTCCCCAGAGATGGTCAAGGATGTTCATGAAGCCTACTCTACAGATGAACTTCCTCCACCTGCAAGCATTTGTGTTCATTTCACAGGAGGTATGGCGGCATCCTAGGCCACCCTAACTAGAGTCTCAACAGAAGAGATTTGTAAGACTGCAAGTTGGGCTTCATTTCACAACTTAGTGAGTCAGTACTGGGGCCATGGCTGGCTTCGCAGTATCTGCCTTTGCAGCCCCCCGTGTTCTCTTAGGCTAATTCCTTTCAACCTTTTTGAGCAGCATTGTGCAGTCTTGTTTTGTTCTGCCCTATATTCTTGGTTTGCCACATCCCATAGTATGCCAGCATTAAGTGGCCAGGAATATGGAAAATTGTTTACCAATACTTAATGTACTTTTCTTGGAGCTTAGTGATGGTGCACTAGATACATTAACAATACAAGTCACATACAGCAGTTGGGTGAAGATGAGGGGGTTAATGTACAAGGTAACAGAGTTGAAAGTCAAAATACAGCTCAGAGACCGAATTGTGCCAACATGTAAAAGAAAGGGGTGTGGGTTGAAAGGTCAAATAATGAACCATAATTGCTGCCGCTAATATTTATCAGAAACAAATTAATAATTTATTCATGCCTGTTCTCTCCTTTTGCTCTGCTGTAAGAGGGAGGAGAGGACTTGGATGTAAACATTGCCGTATTATCACTGTAAAGACCAAACACAGAAATCACAGCGTTGGTCCGATGGGCTTTGTGGCTGCAGCCAATGCCCTCCACTGCCTAATTGACAGCAGAAGCGCACGTGTGTGTGTGTAAACAAACAAGGACATACAGGTAAACCCGCGCCGAACACACACTACCTACTGCTTTTTATTCTAACAGTGGTCACTAAGGAAGTGGTTACTTTAATATGAAAACATTTCGCACGAATACCTTATAAGCTAATCAAAAGCCATGATCATGCAACCTCAGTCCTTCTGCCCCTTTCTCATTTCCGGAAAATGAGCAGGGAGCAACCATGCTCAACATCCTCATGCACTCAACTTCTACATGTTCCAGAAGACATTGGAGAAAGAAGCATGAGGTTAGGATGTGTTTGGGCAAAGCAAGGGGCTAAAATTTTGTATGGAGTAACACCGAGTGCCAGAGACGTAACTAGAAACCTCAGGGTCCCGGTGCAAGACACCATTAAGGGCGCCGCCCCCCCCCCAAAAAAAAAACAGCTGGCCGGGATGTTATCCAGTGTGTTCCAGCACTAAATCAGGCCAGAACACACTGGAGCTGGTGTGAACTAACCCTGGAAGTCATAACATACATACTGTTTAATAGGAGAGAAAAAAAAAAAAAAAAAGGTATAAAAAAAATGCATTGCAAGTGATGATGCCTACCTACAACTTGAAGCATAGGGATAAGGCAACTACGAGTCTTACCGTATTTTCCGGCGTATAAGACGACCCCCCACTTTGTGTTAAAATATAGGTTTTGGGCTTTACTCGTCGTATAAGACGAGTATAGCCCAAAATAATGTTTAAATGCACCCACTAACCTCCATGGCGGTAATCCCAAGTGTGGCTCGGGGTTAATTTTCAGTACCATAAGCAGTAACCCCGAGCCACACTCGGGATTACAGTCTCTTACCTTGTCCACGATCCCAGCAGTGTCCTCCAGCTACATACAGTATACCGTGCTGAGCCTATCACGGCAGGCTTTGTATTCATTATTACAGGCTTTGTATTAATGAATACAAAGCCTGCCGTGATTAGCTCAGCGCGGTATACTGTATGTAGCTGAAGCAACATACAGTATAGCCGGCATATAAGACGACCCCCGATTTTCAGGCGATGTTTTGGGGTCTAAAAACCAGTCTTATACGCTGGCGAATACGGTACATGGTACCCTCAGGAAACCAAGCATTTAATGCTTGCAGTACAGGTGGAACCCCACTGCAAGGGTAGTTTTTTTTTTAAATTTCCCAGTGTTCAGCTTTAACAATATCTACAAAAATCTGTGATTATGATGAGACAAAAGAAGACAAAGCAAATTACTTAAAATAGAGTTTATTAATATTAGCATTTCATTTTTATATAAACGATGCAAACCCAACTGAAATGTTACATTAGTTTAATATATACCTGCAGTCAACCAATTTTTCTCTTGGGAGTCCCTGTAACAAAAACAAAGTGTGCCTCTGGTGTTCAAGTGATCAGAATGAAGTGACATACTGGTCATAATAACTAATTTCTGATGCATCTTTTTACAACTGTTGCAGGCTTACCCTGATAGTTTATTGCGGTTTTGGTATTTTCAGTCAATATAGAAACAAATCCACCAGATACCTCCCCTAACATAAAACATTTTGTTTTGCTATTATGCGATGACAATATAACCTTGCATGGTTTGTACAGCATATTACAGTATATTTGCAGTGCTATGTATAACCATTCCAACGCTTCACCTCCCCAATTTGAAGGTAATATTGGCATGTCAAACAGGGGTCACAAACTAATCATCAATAAATGACTTGAATAACTTTCATATCATATCAAAGGCTGTAGTTGTACAGTTAGGTCTTTATTCACTAGCAGTGATCTATGCCATTCCTTAGGGCCTAACTGCACCACCATGCATGCAGGAATTTGGGGTGGTGGAATACATTTGGTGTGTGACGCTTGTAAGAACCAATATTCATTTATTAGTTTTCTATTAATATTTAGCTCTAAAATGAAAAATCAATTCACGTATACTTGGGACAACTACATAAACCTGTTTGTTGTATATTGAGGAGCAGACAAAGATCATATACAACAGGCATGGTTTTAAACTCCAGTGCTGGTCAAACATAGCTGTATCTGGGAGAGCAATACAGAGGCTAGGAAAGAAAACCAAACATATAAAAAGGCGTTCGAAGAGCCAGAAAGCCTCAAACTGGCATGCCCTGCACTCTCGCATCAGCCACTGGAAGGAAAAGGGTCAATTTAAACAGGTTGGATTTGTTTATTTCAAACATGTTTGCCTTTTTTTTCCTCCTGCTTTATTATGCAACAGTCACACTTCTGTGTTTTACTGCAATGTGTTGAAAAAGATCCTTGCTTTCTGCATCTTTGGTATGGTTTCAAGGACAACAAACCTCCCATAGGGGTTGAATGGTAACATGTATAAAATGCACCTAACGCACACACAGGGGGGGGAATTTATAAAAACTGAAGCAGATTGAATCTGGAGCAGTTGCCCACGGCAACCAAATCAGCATTGCTCTTCAGTTTGCTCCAGTACGATTTGAAAATGAGACAGAAGCGGATTGATCGCAGTGCATATCTGCCCCAGATTTTGTCCGCTCCAGTTTTGATAAAATGCCCCCCAAAGCATTACTACTGCCCCACAAGAAAAATGTAAAAGGTGTTAGTCTAGTCTCTACGGTATCGGTTTCAAACCAAAAAGTGTATGAACTCCATTTCCTCAGATTTCAAATTACTTGGGTGACAGGGTTGCTTGCGAGTTAAATTCCATAACCATGGACTTCAATATGCAGTCACCAATCATCTTAATACAAAAACATTTCTTAACAGACCATACAAGAAAGCAAATTTCCATATGTATATATTTGCACGTCAGTACATTCATTAAAAACAGCTGCAACTTTCTGCTCGTGGGCTATGGACTCCAAAGTGTTTAAGCACTGCCCAAAAGCAGTTTAAGCTTGTTCTATATAACATGCCAGGTGAGATAAAGTTAGGATATTTGGTGCTGTGGGAGGTGTAGGCAGAAATATAACATTTCCTTGGGAAAATATGAATTTAAAGTTGCTGCATTTGAAAAGTCGGGCTCCTTTGCCTTTAGAAGGATGCAAGCATTTCTACTAAAACTAT